GGGGACAGCTATTTCCCCAAGGCAGGTAGACTCCAGCTCCAAAGCATCGCCCCCACCATGTTTCTTCCTGGGGGTCATGGCATTCGATTCAGTTCTGCACCAACCCTCATTGTCTCCCTGCAATCTAAATACGTCCTGACCTCTCCTTGCAGGACTATCCCAGCCATCAATTAGCTTCCCGGTTGTGTGGATACCAGGAAACTGAATACACGGGTTTATAGTTCAGTGGAAAGTTCTGCTGCTGTCTTAAATCATAAAGCACAGCTGCTGACACAGCAGAAGCTGCAAAATGAACAGAGCATCTGAGCAATCTGTGGTTTGGAAGCCGCTGGGAGGAGAATAAGCGCAGTGTCTTGCAGCTCTGTTGGAGGGAGGAAGAAAGGACAAGCAGGCCAAAAGAGTAGATTAAAACTCATCAGAGTGCAATTGTAATGCGTTATACAACATGAATACGTCCTGGTTCTCCAAAGTTAACTTGCAATTGAGAGAGAAAATGGAAGCTGAGTTTCAATGTCTACAAATGCAAAGTAATGCCTGAAGAAAAAAAAAAAGCAAACAACAAACTCCAAATATATACGCACACGCACACAATAATGGGCTCTAAATGAGCTATTCTGAGTTGGGAGACAGATCTTGGGAGCCTTTATGGATAGTTCTGTGATAATACCCACTCAGTGGCAGGGAACAAAGCAAAGCTCATGCCGGGACAGGACTTTAACAGGAAGGGCACGGAGAACAAGACAGAAATCATTGGTATGCCTGCATGTGGGGCAGCATGTCCAGCCCTGGTCCCCCAGCTCAAAAAGGGTATGGTAGAGCTTACAAGAGCACAGAGGAGGAGGAGCAGCAATGGGGAACAACTCCTGCACAAAGGCTCTCCAGCTTGGAGATGACTACTGCTAATGCCTTCATGGACGGCACAGGTAGAGGAAATAGGGATATTATTTGTCGTAACACAAGAACCAGTAAGCATCAAATGAAAGGCAGAAGTTTTAAAGCAATAAGTATTAGCCAGTTACCAAAGATGTCATCAAGGGCATGTTAGTTCCAAACTAATTTAAAGAGGCTAGGGTTCAGCCTTAGATGACATTGGCATTGCCTCCACTGGAGTTACATGCCCAGGCTTCCTCTCCAGACAGTGGAGAAGACCTCGTGCCACTGGGATGTAAGTCATCTCCCCCAGGGTGGACAGCTAGAGCAGGTCGGGAGAATGTGCCCCGTGCCTCTGCACCGAGGAAAAGGGCAGCCCTATCACTTTTTCCAGATGCAGGCATCTACAACAGTCTTGGAAAAGCATTTGGGCACCCTCAACCACAGCCCTAGCAGGACCAAGGTCTCCAGCAGCCACCCTTCAGCATGGTGGAGGCAGAGCACCTTCCCACCACACCTTCTGCTGGAGCCTTTATGGACCGCACAGAAGGCAAAACACCTGCAGAAGAGTTAAAAACGATTTCTTTGGGAAAGCAGCCTGCAATTTTCCTTTCTATCCAATGGGATTCAAATAACCTAATTCTTGCTCTACATTTGTATGGTCTGTCTCTCCCCGGGATCACCCCTGAAGAAATGACAGCCATGTGGTAAATACATGTAATCATGCCACTCTGATAGCTTCTCTTGTTCTCTGGCCATTAATTCATCTCCCTGGGACTTAGGTGAACATTTTAAATCCTGCAGCAAATTCAAAGAGCTGCCTTTATTTTAAAATCAACACAGCCATAAAAAGCTTTCTTCTTTCCCTCCTCAAAATGTAAATTTTTTTTAGCTTCAAAAATATCCTGGCACAGAGACAGATGTTGCTGGTCATGACCTTATCTCACACCAACGACAGGTTTCCTATGCATAAGAAATCTCATGGTTTTAAAAAAATCGCTCAAACAAGGAGGGCTTGCTGCTGCAGGGGGAGGTAGCAGCACCCACCTCAGGCAAAGCCTTTGCCTTCATGCTCATGGCACTGTCACAAAAACACAGTCAGTAACCTTCCCTTTCCCTTCTCAAGGTATCCTTTTGTTGGGAAAAAAACAGAAGAAAACAAAATGCAAAAAAGCCCTCCAAAAACAACTACCTTCTCCCTGATGATCGTTATTTCTAGGAGGGCAGCAACTTCCTGCGCATGCTTTCATTGCGCTGGAAACACATTTTGGCTGAACGGAGCTGAGGCCGTCGGAGGAAATAATACAGCGGAGTGGTGCTCAGCCTGCAGTACTGCTGCCTGTGGGCAGCTGGGCCAGGAGCAGCCAGCTCACCATTAAGACAAATAAAATAAGACTCTACTAATTTTTACAGCCTGCCAGGAAGGAAAGCACCAGCAACAACTGAAGCAGCGACCGCCACATGCTCAGCTGCGAAGGCTCCAGCTCTGAGCTGCCAGGGAAGAAATGTATCAGCTTAACATCAGCTGGTGCCACCACAACATTCATTTCACCGAGTTCAGCTCATGTTCTCAGCATGACTTGGGTTGCACCAGCGAAACCTTCTTTTATCAATGTCCCCAACCATATTTTTTTCCTTCTTGTTGTCACTAAGCCATCACCATTTTGGAGCTGGAGAGGAACGAGGTTAAGAGAAGACCAGGAGGAAGAGCAAGCTGCTTTGCTGGAGGAGTGAAGCCAGGACATGCAGGGAAATCGATGGGAGGCAGCAGCAGAGTGAAGTGGCATGGTGGGAAGATGCATTAGCCAGAGCAGAGTTTGGTGCAGGACCTGGGTGACACCAGAATTAGGATTCAGCTGTGCCAATGAGTAGTTCAGTAGATCAGACAGTCCCACCTGGGAAGATGAGGGAGACAGGACCCACAGGAACAAGGACTGCCCCTTGGACAAGCGGCTGGGGAGGAAAGGGTGCTCCTCGCTGGGTGGCACGGGCAGGAGCGGCAGGGCTCGGTGACAGGTGAGAGGGGGTGCTAAAGGCCAACAGGCAGATGGCGAAACTGTGATTAGAAAGTCACTCCAGCCATAAATCTCAGGGACCTGAACCGGAGACGGGCAAGCCCCAGATGGCTTGGAAAGTCTGCCTGGCAGAGCCCAGCGTGTCTCAGCGTGCATCTGTCCCTCCCTCCCTCCCACCTCCAGCTAGCTCCTTACAGCCAGAGCTGAAACAGGGACCCCTGAACCTAAAATCACACTGGTGCACGCACTAAAGAGCAAAACCACTACCTGGACCACAACAACAATATTACCCATCCCCAGCATGGGACTCTTGCTGCATTACTGGGGCTTACACGCAACGTCCCGTCCCTGATGTTCTCCTCTTGGCAGGGATGCTGTGGGCACCATCCAGGGGGTCATGGAGGGTGTAGAACCACACAAAGGTGCACCAGCAAAGCTGGATGGAGGAAGGGTCCCCTCAGCCATGCACGCTATTTCTGGATCTGCTGAGGAGCTGCTGGATTTGCAAGCAAGCACAGGGGCATATCGGCTGTCCGTGCTTTGGAAGGGGCTCAGGAATAGAAAAGGGGCAGGAGATTGGGAGGGAACAGGATTTATATAGAGATCCACAGGGAAAACCCGTGTCTGCAAACATGAGTAACCTAACACCAGGCAGTAGTACCAGCTCCTGCCTGTGGATCCAGGACAACAACTTCCCCCAGCCTGCAGCCAGAGGAACCCAGTGCTCTCACGCTCCTGCCTGAAAAGTGCTCGTGACACCCACAAAAAGGCACCTTGCACATGCCAAGCCCCCGAAATCCCCCTTTGCCAGCCGGTGCCTCCCACACCCCTGCAGCCCTTCCTAATGCTGCCGGAGAGTCCTTCAGCCCACAGGTGCTATCGCTCCCCAGGGAGCACCGGCCAAGCCAGTCGGGGCTGGCACCATGGACGGGACGGGGGCCAGTGATAAAATTAGAAAGCTTCTCCCTGCCAGTCCCTTCTCCAAGCTGCAGGGGCCAGCTGAGCCCAGTTGCTAACCCGCACTGTAACCCTTATAGTCCCCCATTTTGTAGGGCTGGGAGAGTTTCTAGAAAGCCAGGGGTTTGCACGGCTTTCCTTTTTGGTTAGCGGGGTCTCCAGCTACCCCAGAGAGCCAGGCTTGCAGGCTGATGGGGGCAGAGGGAGGGTCCTTTGGGGCAAAGGGAGGTTGATGTTTTTGGCTCATTTGGGACAGTCCAGCTTGCACCATGCAATTCCCTTCGTTACCATCGCTTTGCACACCCAGCAGCCCTGCAAAGGCTGACCCTCCCTGCTGCAAATGGCTGCTCGTGCCCCATTTCTAGCCCCTTTCCCCCTGCCACAGCTGCTGTCCTCCTCCTGTGGCAGTTATTGTTATTATTTATACTCCCAAGCATCCTTTAAGTTTCCGCCGGGGGAGAGGATCAAAACAGAAAGCCTTTTAAGGATTTCTGCCAGCACCGGGAAGCGAATTCCCCCCAGCAAACAGTGCTGCTGGGGGATTTGAGTGTAGACAAGTGCTTAAAGCTGAAAAGGGCAGAGAGAGGGGAGGGGGAGCCGGGGGCACACTCTGAAACCAGACCCCCCTCGGCCGAAACACAGCTCCTTCCTCTGCTTTAGGAAACGAATCCCTCCTGTGATTTCCTTTCAAAGGTGACTTGTAACCTCTTCATTAGGGTTGGCTTTGGCAGAGCACTCATGGTGCAGCTGGCAGGGCCAGCCCGCCGGGGCTGTGGCTTTTTGGGGGGGGGGCCTGCCCTTTCCCACAGTGCTGCTGGGGGATTTGAGTGTAGACAAGTGCTTAAAGCTGAAAAGGGCAGAGAGAGGGGAGGGGGAGCCGGGGGCACACTCTGAAACCAGACCCCCCTCGGCCGAAACACAGCTCCTTCCTCTGCTTTAGGAAACGAATCCCTCCTGTGATTTCCTTTCAAAGGTGACTTGTAACCTCTTCATTAGGGTTGGCTTTGGCAGAGCACTCATGGTGCAGCTGGCAGGCCCCCCCCGCCGGTGCTGTGGCTTGTGAGGGAGCGCACTTGCCTTTCCAAGGGTGGAAAATAAACACGGCAGCTCGCAGCAGCAGCAGCTCCACAGGAGGACCGGCGTCCTGGCCATGCTCTGATGGGTACCATGGACTTTAGGACAGATCCCAGTGCAGTAACGATCAATTTGCTGCTTATTGTCCACCCTGAGGAGACAGCGAGCAAGCAGAAACTGCAGAGAGAGAGGCAGACAGAAGGCAGCCGAAGCGCAGGTAACGTCCCGCCTGCAGTGGGTGCAAGGGAGGGGAGGGTTGCAGGTGCAGCACCAGCTGCCCAGGAGACGGTGAAGCGAAGCAGCAGCTTTGGAGAAGGGTTTTTGCTCCCCCCCTCCTCTTCTCCTTTGCAGACATGCTGCAAAACCCCCAAACTTGAAACATTTCTTTGTAGAAACCCAGCGTGCCTTCGCTGGTCCTCCTGGTGCAGGAGAGCCCTTGCTCATGCAGTGCTGCATGCTGCATGTTGCTTGGTGTCTGGCTCTGGTGCATGCAATCCAGGGCGCAGGAGGAGGTGACGTGCGCACAGATACTAATTTGAGGACCACATTTGCAACTTGCTCTGTCCTGCAGTGGCCCTGAGATGCTTCCATGGGCTCTCTCAGCTGTGCAAGGGGAGCAGGGGGAGAGCTCGGCAGTTTCATCCCAGACCAGTACCTACTACAACAGAGTACAGGGGCAAAACTGTTTTGTTTGAAGCGTGTCTAGGCTTTGTCCCCAAGGATGACTACCCTGAGCCATTTATAGCTACAGTTTGGGACAGTCTCCCTGGCCCAGCTCCTATCCTTCAGGGGATCTTCCAAAAAGCTAAGGCTGTGCTCTGCAACTGTAAGGAGACCCTCCCTGCAGAAATAAAAGGAGAAAAAGGAGTATTCCTGATCTAAAACCTTGGGGGAAAGCTAGATTTTTCAGACAACCAGTTCCAGGCTAACAAGGCTAGGCAAAGCTAACACAGAAGTCATGTTCATGCTTAATCTAACACAGCATCCAGCACCTACCCAAATACAAGCAAGCAACTTAGACCTGGACTATTGCACTTTCTTCCTCCTGCTATTTCATACGCTAGCAACAGGGGCTGCAACAAACACTACAGACAAGAGGGAAAGTGGATCCCAGTGACACCTAGGTTCAGCTGGAATGATGGGTTACATGAAAGGTTTTGGGGTGCTAGGCCTCCGGGCATTGCCAAAACCTCACTCCAGGAGGTCAGCCTGCCAATCTCACATTTATATTTTATAGGTTTGCAGGATGATGGAAATGGAAACAGCAGATCACAGCCACCTCAGAGGAGAGACCTTAACGGTATGTCATCTTCTCATTCTACCGATAAACTAACCGCAGTACACAAAATCCATTTGCAAGCTGTTAGCACCCAGTTGTGCCTCTCAAGCATAAACATGCTTGAAACAACCCATCCCTTTCCAGTGCTTTGAGCGGCTTCAATGGAGATAGGCAGAGGGCCTCTGGCCATGTCTCATGGAAAGCATCCCCTCCATGCCGTCCTCTGCCCCGTGGCCAGGATGCACATGGGTGGCACTGCAGAGCCCGGGCACGGCCATTTGCAGGGGATTGTCCTGAAGCTGCCATGGAGCTCGGTCATATTTCAGGTGCACGGAGGTCTTGCATTTCACAGCCAGCTGATGGCAGGGGAAATTCAGTCCCCCAAATTGCTCAGGTTGCAGATAGAGTTTCCAGAGATTTCCCTGGCACTCACACAGCTTAAGCAGGATCTGGGGTGTGCAAGAAACCTTTGGGGTTTCAACCCATCTACCCACCAGTCGTTTCTTCATCTCCCCCGCTCAGAGATTGCTGAGTGCGAGGCAGGTGTAATTGTCATCCAGGAACAATGTGGCTGCTAGTCTTGAATGTACCCCTGCCAGTTCCTCACCCCTCTGCCCTGAAACAGTTCAGAAGGAGCATCTGAAGGGGTTACCCCTGGCTGCACGCAGCCAGGCTGCAGGACTGCGATGCAAGAAGACAGAGCAGCTCCTGGGGAAGGGAATCAGACCATCCAATTTTCTTTCCTGGTAGTCTAAGCCTAATATGGTGTCTAGCAGAGAAAGGTGGGGAGGCAAAGGTAAAGCAAGACAACAAGTAATTCTCACGGTACCAAACAGTGGATTCTAGTTATACCAAACAGGAGCTTTGCTGCCACAGACCAAGCAATGGCAATATACAAAAGCCATGACAATACTTGATGGGAGCCCTGATCCAAGCCCCTCTGAAATCAGTGGTGGCTGGATGGCGCTCACAGACTGTAAGCAAGCAATATCTCATGGCAAGATACAACTTTAGGTTTTTGTTTGTTTGTTTGTTTTTAACAAATCTGATGATCTCAGACACCAGATAACAAAAGCCTCCGCTCCGGGAAGCAGATAAATATTCAACACTCTCACTCTTCCATCATGCTCAAGAGGGTCTGCAACTGGAGCTGCAGAGACAAGTCAAAGCCTTCATTAAAAGCGAGAGGACAGTATCAATCATTCACCACCCTAAACTAATGGCAGGGGTATTTAGTATGCCTATGGGAAACCTTTCCTTGCAGCTCTACCTTAGGCACAATTTAAATCCCCGTGAAGATTACTAAGAATTCAGATGCCAGAGGAGCAGGCAGAGCTTTCGCTCCTCTAGCACCACAGGGGTTAATAAATTCCCCTTTAATCGGTTGCTGAGCATCTTGGTGAAGCCTCTGACACCACGGAGCAGCTGGTGCTGCCGCAATATTTACAAACTGTATTACATAAGCCTCACCCCAACCCCACCGAGGTAAACAGGCTGTGGCCCCATGCTGCGCCACGAAATCCCATCATTCATGGGCCTGATCCTTGTCACAGCCATGAGGTACGAATGGTATCTGGCCTTCAGGACGAGCCGTGAAAACCAGGTTCCTTGCGCTGGTGGCTGGCAGGATGGCGATCCCACGACGCTTTGAAAAAGAGCAAGGGATCGCCCTGGCATCCTGGCCAACGTCCACCCTGCCTCCGGCAAGGCTCGAGCATCCAAAGCCACGTGGGAGCTATGGCTCAGCATCACCTGGCATTTGCTGACCGCCCTGGCTAACTGTCAGCGCAGCCCGGGGGAGCAGATTTATGCTGCCTACAATTCTCTGGGCATGCCAGGTGCTCCACGCACCTCCCTCTGCCCCAAGGACCCTGGGGCTGGTCGGCATTACTGAGATGGTCAGGGGCTCCCAGAGCACAGAGGGCAGAGATGAAGATGAGGCTGAGATGCTGAGAATCGCACCATGCTCCCATTCAGGGACCGCATCGCCTCCAAGCTCCCCACCCTGCCCTTCCCTCCCACCCAGCTCTCCAAACACACGCCCGCTGGTCCAAGCACCCTAACCTCCCCGCCCTGAGTGGCAGAGCCTGGTCCAGCCCTTCCCCGGGCTGGAGCATCCCTCTGGAGTGGGGCCAGGCACCCCTGGACCACAAGCAATTGGGCTTTGAAGCTGGAGAACAAGGTCAGGCTTCTTGTGTCGTTACTTACTTCACTGCTGAGCAAAGGCACAGATTTGGTCTGCCTCCGTGCCAGGCATCTCCGCTCTCTTCAAAGCACTGAGATGTTTTTCTTTGTACAAGCAGGCCAGCGAGTCTCCAGGGAGCTCTGCAAGCAGACGCAAGCCGTTACTTCTTACTCTAACGAAGGTAAGTGGCAACCCAAGGGATAATGGTTTTTCAGAGCAGGGCTTCAGTGAGCTCCCACTCAAGATTTTTGTAATAAAGTAACCACAGAACACCCCTAAAGAGCAAAAAAGCCCCACCCTGACCATTTCGTGATCTTGAGCATGAAGAATTAAAAATCCTAGGGGAGCCTGGAGAATCCTTGGGTCTTTCAGCGTGGATGTGGGTCTTGGAGCACCTGGGTTCCCACCATCCCCCTGCCCACCAGGACATAGCATAGATGTAATTAGAAAGCATGATAATAACATATTCCTGCCATTGTCAGATATTCCAGTGCTGATGGAAGGGTGCAAGGGCTGGAAGAAATAATATTGGCAGAAGTTTAGCTTAAGACAACTGGTTGCAGAAGTCCTTTCATAGGGTAGATCCTTGCAAGGAGCCATCCCTGCACTAGAGCAGGGGCAGTGCTGGGCCAGCTATGCCCCAAAGCTCTCACTGGCCAAGGACTTGTCTGGCCATGGAGAATGAGGAGAAATGCAAGTGTTTTTTTTATGAAGGATGTTTTGATTAAGAATAGTAAAAAAAAAAAAAAAAAAAAAAAAAAAAAAAAAAAAAAAAAAACATTTTAAAACCCTTTTTTTTTTATAAAGAGTGTTTTTTTAAAAAAAGAAAAAAAAAAAAAAAAAAAAAAAAAAAGTAAAAACATCAGTAACCATTTCATACCATTAGTTTTTAAAGCAATGGATGCAGCAGTTTGGAAAAATTTCTGTGGAATTACATTTTTTCAGTTGTTAAATGCCTTTTAAACTTACTGGAAGAAGGCATTCCTCGTCATTAAATTCGTTTCTTGAAAACAAAATAATTTAATTTATGGGGGAAAACTGAGAAAGTGGAAGTTGGCAAGAAAACTCACAGAAACCCAAAGATAAAAATCACCTTGAGAAACAAAAAAGGACCCCTGAAAATACAAAAATCGTAAGGAAATGAGAGTGCTTGCACAAAAAGTCATGTATTTGAGAAACAGCTTCATTTTACCTTTGAATTAACTGACAAGATACACCAACCAGCTCTAATCTTGACACCCTGATATATGCAAGCATTGGAGTAAAACGGTAGGATTTAAAAGGGGTTTTTTACAGTTTTTACAGTTTTTCTTGCCTTATGCTTTTGGAGCTTTAAAGGACATCAAACTTCTGCATAATCACAGCAGATAAAGAAAACTTCTTTCTAAAGTTAAATTCTGAGGAAAAACTTATTCTTTGATGAAAGTACAGATTTCTACCTAATTAGCTAGCTTTCAAGGAAAATCCCAAATGTCACAAGACTCTCAATAAAATTGTGGGAGGTATCACGTGCGATTGGATGGCAGCCCTGAGGTGCATTAACATCTTGGCCTTCAGTCTCCAAAGTAACCTCTGTTTGATCCAAAATGGGGAGCCCACGAGCACGCTGAGGTCCTCCAGGGAACCTCGGTGGTTGCAAAACCTTCTGAAATACTTGCCAAAAAAATGCAGTCTCTTTCAAAAAGTTCAGGTAATTCTTACAAGACACTCCCTAACTTTTTTCCTTGTACTTCTCTCTGTGAAACTGGAAACACAAGACCCCCAGATTTCCATCTGAGGTTGTTCTGGAGCATCATGGCACGCAGAGCGCAATTCCCAGGTCATGCCTGGACTGCAGCTGGCTCTGCCAGGACGCTGCCTCTTACAGGCAACGGCCACTGCCAAAGGTTTTAATATCACAAGTCAAACCGTTTTCATAGCTCTGAGCCTTTTTCTGTTTGATTCCAAGAAAAATCAATGAAAGAAATTGATTCTCTGCTTACTGTATCTCCATCAAGAGCTATTTAATATGGTACTAAACCTTTTTTTTAAGCTGCCACAGAATTGCTGAGGACCTCTGCTTTGTTTATGATCCGCTTTATCACCTGTTAGGCTATAACTGGCTGTCTTTTATTTTTTGAGAATTACAAATCACATCAGAGGTGACCAGAAGCTTTCTGGCTATACAGTTTTTCTTAAGGGTGCTTTGCTGTACCAGGAAAGCCAAGCACTGTGGTACCTTTGCAATCTCCAGAGCTGCCACTTCTTTTGCTAAAGTTAAGAATTGGCTTCAGCGATGCCTTGACACGCAATGCTGCCCTTCTCCTCCATGTCCTGGTTAGTTTTCCCTTTCTTAGGGAGTTTGTCATAATTTCTTGCAGGAACTCAAGTGACAGTGGAAATTCATGCCAAGGATGCCACCCCACAACTCTTCAAGAAACTCTCCTTTGGAAAAGGTACAGCCCAGGCTTTGAATCCTGGCAGAGCGGGTCAAGGGTGGGAGGCAGAAGGGGCCACATCCTTCCCTTTGCAGAAGTAGGGAGGGCGAGAAGCCCTCTGGGAGCTCGAGGAGATGCTGCACCCCTTGAGCCAGGGTCAGGGTTCCAATGATTGCACTAACCATGCCGGGGTTGTTGCAGGTCCCCGGAGGCTGCCCAGCCTGAATGGTCAGGACAACAAAGGTGAGGCTCTGCTCTGCCACAGCATGTCTCCAAGCTAGCCCTCGCCCAGGAGGTTGCTCCCGGGAGGAGACAGGCTCCCTTCTCCCCATGGGTGCTCGAGGCTCTTGAGAGGATGCCAACCACTAAGCCCACTCTCCCTGCCAGGGAGATGCTGCTGGACCCTGCCAACTCCTGGGGCTTGAGGAGCAAAATCCTTCTGCTCCTAGGGCAAGGGGAGTCTTCTCCTCCACAGGCTCTGGGATAAGGCAGGTGGTGACAGTCTGGGGGCCGCAGTGTCCCTCAGAAATCCTCCAGCTGCTGCAGAGCTCTCTGCAGGGTTATCATCTAACAGCTCTGGAGCTCAGCTCTCCCTTCTTCCATGCCTGCGGGGTTTGGCCGGGTGGTGGGCAGAGGTTAGATATCCCCAGCCCTCGGGCTAGAACAGGAGATGTCTGACTGCTGGGGAATGTGGCCTCTGCAGAGCCGCAGGACAGCAGAGAGGGGATGCAGGGTGCAGTGGCAGTCCAGGCGGCCTGCTTCATCCCTCTCTCCTCTGCACCCACGCTCCACAGGCTGTTGACATCCATGTCCGAATGCAAGGGAATGGGAAAAGAAAAGCCTCAATTTCAGCTTTTTCCACCCAGTTTGCTCCCCAGAATAACTTTTTTCTATTTGTCTTTTTTCCCCTGCCAACAACTGCTCACCTCACGTTCCCTTCCCCAATTCTCTAGGTTTCCAGAAGACCGAAGCCCCGCAGCCGCCAGGAGGAAAAGACCTGCACGGTAACTATTAGCTGTCCCCTTGCCCCAGGGTGGTGGCACGGTGGAGCACAACGTGGGGCAGCCCCAGACAGGAAGCCTTTAAGTCCTAGAACAGGGCTTACCCTGCTGCAAGCCTAGGGTATTTAATTTCTTCAAGACAAGGGATTTAATTTCTATTACCATGAGTAGCACTCAGCTTCCCAGCCCCCTGTTCATCAGGGTGGCAGATGGGGATGGCTTTGGGAATGTCACACGTGCCCGAGACCTTCCCAAGGCTCCACACCCAAGGAAGGCTACTTTGCAAACAGGCACGATGCACACTTCCTAACTGCACAGGGCTGCATGAGTTACTGCAGATTCCGCATCCGCAGTGAGCCTTTGCAGCTATAACCTGACGAAGACAAAAAAGCGATAAACAATTTTAAAAAAAACATCCCATTCCCAAAAGGAAAGAAGTAATTTTCAGAGCTGTAGAGAGCGGGAACCTTTAAACGCGTAAATCTGCTCTGTCTCTCGTTAGGTCAGTGTAATAGCCCTTTTCAGGGAAAACCGAGATAAACAAAGAAGCCTGTTAAAGAAACAGATGCTGTGTGCCTACACGTTGATTTTGGCAGACGGGCGCCTGCCCAGCACAGGGATGTGCCTGCATCTCGCCTGGCAGGCTGCACCGTCACCAGGATGCCCCACAAGCCCTCCCTGGGGCAGAGGTTTCCAAGAAAAACAGGGCTCACATTAACAAAACACCTTTGCAAGTCAGGAATAGACCCCACACGCAGCCCAAAGCAATTCACTTCTTGTCACCTCTCTCCAGGCAAACAGCAGCTCTACGGCACCATTCGTTCACCTCTCCAGCACTTGGGAGTCACGCAACAGCATTTTCACTTTGTGATCTCTTTTAAATCCTTTTTTCCAGAGAAATAACAGTCCCACAGAGATAGCTAGAAGAATCTCCTTAGTCCTGAACGGCTTTGACAGCACATGACAGGGGGAGAGATTGCTGTAGAGCTCAATTCTTCTCTCACCAGCTCAGAAGAAAAAGGAGTGCTGAGCAGACGGCGGTCCAGGGGAGATGTCCATCCAATACATCTGTGCACTGAGCTATAGCTGGATCACTCGGGTGGCTCACTAATGAGAGAGAACAGTGTCAGCTCATTCAGAGGCTGTTAAAAAATAAGTTATCTGATTAATTAGGGCAAGTTATTAACCCTTTCTTCACACTGAGTAGAACCGGGAGCCTAGAGCCTGCAAAGATGCAGAGGGGCAGGCACACGAGTTTCAGTCCAGCTGCTCCCCATGTAACGTTTCTCATGAGCTTGAATTTGTGCAGAATCATGGCCCTTTACCATGCAAAATAGTCATCGCTTTCAGCAAAACTACTGAAGAAATACAGCTCTCTGCTGAGTTTTTTAAAAAGTCAAGTTTTTGCCAGGGTTCCCACAGTGCAGATTTTCCCTGATACTCCTGCGTTATATCTTGTGCACCTCCGTATAATATCCTGGGATTTTCTATTCTGTTATACAGTGCCAAAGATGCAGGGGCACCTCCTGCTCCAGCATTGCCCAAATTATACCAGACTAGACAGGATGGCTCCTGCTTCTCATGCAGCTGGCAGGGACCTTCTGTGAGTGCCCTCGTGTCCTCTGCTCCCTAAGCACCCGCTGATGGATGCCTCCATGGGTCGGGCAGGAGCTCCGCAGTGTCCCCTTGTTCAAGCATACAGCCAGGAAAAATACCCCCTCCCTTCCCGAGACAATGACAACTTGTTTCTTCCCAGCATATCCATGGGACAAATCCTCTTTGAAATCCATGCCAGTAGATCTGCAGCAATTTGAGAAGCTGGATGCCTACGCATTAAAAGTAAGTCAGTCAGTCTTGCTTTTGCCTCTGTCCTCTCTCCCTCCCCTGCAGGGACATTCCTTGAAACCTAGCTACCAGCACTAACACCAACTTAGTCTGAGCTATCAGGGAAAGTGCCTCAAAATCTCCCAAAGAAGTGAAAAACCATTTCCCTGCAAACATGAGCAACAGAGATCCCATTCTAGGAGGGAAAACTATGACCAAAAATACTTGCTTGAAACATGGAACTACAGCTTTGTATTTCTATTTTTAATGAAGCTCGAGTTAGAGCAGTCTCCCAGCAGGCTGGGTCTCACTAGCTTTAGAAGATCAAGGGAGCGGGGAAGGAAGGGAGATCTACCATAGCAATTTCTTCACCACGATCTTGCAATGCTTCCTCCTCACAAACAGGTAAACGTCAAGAACAGCGTAGAGGAACTCGTTAAAGCCCTGCTTAAACAAGCCCAGACTGATCTGGAGAAAGTCCGAGCCATATGGATATGGATATGTCATCACATAGGTAGGTTGAGATCTTCAGTTGAGAAGATAAGGCTGTTGCTGTCACCCTTGTTACTCTGTCATTGCAGTATACTAGATATCTTGTGGGTTAGTTTCACATGGTGGGTGGTAGGAAGGCTTTCTGGATGTATTCATCCAGAAATATATTCAGAGGTTATCTCACGATCTCTGTTTCCATACTCCCTCTCCTAGCACTGCCAGGACCTACAAGGTTTGCGTGTAAATGATTTCTTTCCATGTGATGAATCTGCAGCTCCTATGTGATTTATTTGCGGGTGTAACCATACAAGTCCCTATCAACTAAGCAGCCGGAGCATGAAGCCAGGCTGCCAAGCACCAGAGGCTTGGTTGTCACATTCAGAGCCATCCAGCACCACCAGAAGTTTCATCTCCACCACTGTCCTGAATCCCCGCACCCCCCATGCAGCCCTTCCTAGAGCATTTTGCATCTTGGTGCCTTTGCTCCAGGAGGGTCTCGGCATAGCTTAGGTACCACCGGGAACCATCAAGCTGCCTTGCCCAGCTCAGTGTCATCACAGCTGCTTCTGCAGCTCCTCTGTTCTCCCTCTTTGGGCAGCAGACCAGCCCTTGCAAGGAGCAGCCTGGACCCAGCCCACTGCTCAGCACAGCCCGCCCTGGGTGAGGTGCCCTCTTGCCTTTGACAGTCTCTTGGCTGTTTTCGCAGCCAGCTTTGCCCCTGTGTATCGTGGATACATCCTGCGCTCCAGTCTCTAGCCGGTACCTAACATGTCCATCAGCCAGGTCAGTGCAGCACATCAGAGAGGCCAGCTTTCATAAAACGTGCTGGCACCTGCTTGATTGCCGTTCCTGCCTGTACGTGCACCCTTTCAACCTTCATGAGAGCTGCAATCACTCAGTTTCCCCTCCCCTTCCTAGCCAACCCCAACCCAGGCAACACTGGCATTTCAGAAATAACCGAGATGCAAAGAGGACAAGGAAGGAGGATGAGGCAGCATTTGTAGCCTTTCCAGTCTGGCACATCAGAGGGGACAAAAAGCTTCTTGCCACCCCAAGCTCCTTGGCGGGGGAATCTGAATGTGCATATGCATATGCATATGCAAAAACATTTCTTTGCCATTAACTCTTGGGGGAGGAGGGGGAGAAGCACAGCTAGTCTTTCCCTCACCTCTTACCCATCCTGATGGGCTCTGGTGAGGTGCAGTTCGCTGATGGAGAGCAGAAAAGCAATTCGGGAAGCACTGGCCTAATCTCACGCCCACTGAGATCAGCAGAGCTTTGCCAGCAACTGCACGGTTAGCATAGTTAGGTCAATCCCAAGCAGCTTTAATCTTTCCCTTAAATATGCATACTGCTGATTTCACTGCATTTCCTGAAACTGAGCATTTGGCTCACCCAGCGCTGAGCTCCCATTTCTGCCTGCCACTGCCTGGGCCAGATCCTGCTTGGGACGGCCAGTCTGGTTTGACTCAGTCCATTTACCTTACACACATTCACAGGATGTCTCTGATCCCTGACAGGTATGCTGTGATCTCCTCACAAGATTTTTTTACACCATCTTGGCCTCAGTTCTCCTCCCTTCCTGCAGAGGCTGACCCCCATTTACATGCATGGGAAATAAACACAGTGCTAGGAATTTAAATTGGCTCACAAAAATGCAGTGTATCTATCCTGGAAGAGCACTGACAATATAAACTCCGTCCTTGTTTGGATTTTAAGTGAGAGCGCTGCTCCCTGGATATCTCTTCCCACCCAGTTCAACTCCCTCCCTGCGATGGACTGCTACCTCCATGCAGCAACAGCACTAAAAGAAATTATTTTAGCTATCATTTCTAGCATAAACACAGAGCCCCGTGCAGCCAGCTAGCTCTCCATACCCCTCAAAATGCTCTGCAGCTTTGCTGGTGGCCCAGTGAACAGCCCAGGTCGAGAAAGCCAGGCTTCCCCTACAGCCCCATGAGCCAACCCTGGGGCAGCCGCCAGCTGAGCCCCTTAGATAAAAGACAAGCAGTTGCAGCATTTCATCAAAGCACAAATACAGCATGTTGCCAGCTTTTTTCCCCTCTTCTACAGCATTTGAGGAAGGAAGAATCAGCTGATGCAGCATTCCTTAGAGCTTTGTCAGAAAAATATGTTCGCATTTTAAGAAAGAGGTTATGGACGTGACCAAGGTTGGTCAGTATTGAATTAACCTTCCCAGACCAGTTCCCCAAGCTCTGTCTGAAGGAACCCTGCTGTGCCACTTTTCTGCATTCAAACAAATTAAGATTTGCTACACTTCCAGGTATTAATATGATTCACTTGCAACAAATCATTTCAAGTATTTCCCAACAAGCTACTTTCCAGGTGTTTTTAATACAAATTGCTTGTAAAGAGTGCAAAAAGCTCAATGGTTTCCTTTGACAGTAACAAGAGTCTGACTCCTTCAAATGTAGAGCGCTCTGTTTTTTACCAGGAGCTCTTGAGACTTTAGATCCCCCCCACAGGAGGGCAGCCCCTGGGGAGGCCCACTTTCTTTCAAAAAGCAAAGTTTTCCTCCCATTTGGATTCAACTGCTGAATCCCAGCCCAGGCTTAGAACAGACAGTGATGAGAGATAGACCTCGTCCCTCTCCCCCCACCAGCCGTCCACGACATCCTTGTGCAGCACACAGCACGGCTCATTTCTCTTTGCTCGCGCTCACAGAGATGAAAAGCAATCCAACCATTGCTCCTGCTGACCGTCGATCCCATTGCCTCAGGCTTTTGGATGAACTTTCGTCTGTGTTCCTTCCCACAGAATACGACGTAGTGGGCTACCATAACAAAAGCCAGCTGTCGAGCAAACCCATAGATGTGCTGCAGGTAGCGTTTGTGAGGGATACGCTGGGCTCTTTGAACAAATGTGCAGGTAAATTAAGCTCACAAACATTCAATGCCAGGGAGAGTTAACATTCATTGTCATCTCTGTGGCTATTCTGTCTGCCTTTGCATTGACTGATGTGACTTTAAGCAGGACATGGAACTTTAGCTTTCAAACCATGCTGTGGAAAAACAGCAAGTCCTAGAAAGGTCAATTTTGCTTCCTCCTCCAACCCCCCCTCCCCAGCATAATTTACTTTGTGCCATCTGCTGAGCTTCGCATTGCATTAACATAATGGCAGATGAAAACACAGAGCTAATTTGGTTAGAAGAAGCTAAGTTCTTCCTTTGAGTATCTGTATGTGAAGGTTAAAAGCATGGCAAGACTTAAACAAGAAGGAGTGTTGTCTCCAACATGCTCCCATGCAAGAGGCAGGCACAGTCCCAGAAGGAGCTTTCCCAAAACCTTCTGGAGATGCCCTCTCCCCCCCACTACAGAAGCACCACAGGGACACTGCTTCACGCTTACCGCACCATTTTCTGCAGTCAACCTCAAGGTGCATCACTGCTGAGGCCAATACTGCAATTCCCATTTTATAGCTACGTCGGCATTTAATGACTAAAATCCATTCTCCTGCGTACAAAACCTTGTTGACTTCACTGGGGATTAGTTGCATAAACAACTGGGATTTCCCCCACAAAGCAGGACTTTACAATCACAGAGCCATTTCATAGCAGAGGCAGCCCATTCCTTGGCAGGGAGCACAGGCGCCTTGCATATGAATGCAGCGCAAATCCCTTCTCCCTCCCGTTTCTCCAACCCAGTAAAGAAAGGAGATGGCCGTTGCACAAGGCAACCCTCAAGCACCACAGCAAGGAGCAGCATCTCGCCTCTCACAGCTGTATGTAATAGTTTGGTTTAGAGGAGTAGTGAAGGCAAGGAAGGTGCTTGGCAAGTTTGGGACCAGCCTTACATAGAAGGGTTGCCCAAGAGGAGAAAACTGGACCTGACGACTCAGGGACACAAGATTGGAAGGGGCTTTCCTAACAGCAGAAAGCAATGGTGTACTTTCCTAAGAGCGTGTGCTTGCACGGTGGCTCTCCCAGGGAGCACCTTCTCGGCAGAGCAGCTTCCATTTACAAGACAGCTTTGGAAAAGATTGAAGACCAGTTATTAATTGGCATGTGTAAGTAAAAACTGGCTTTCCACACCATCCAAAAAGATTTGGGAAGGTTTTCACCATGAAACAAACAGGGAAAAGGACAGAAAAAAAAAATGCTGTGCCAGATGCTAAAGAGGTGAATGCTTCCAACCAATAATATATCCCGCGATATCGGATCTTGATTTCTAAAGAGTAAAGTAAAGAAATAGGATGATGAAGTATGAATTTATAACTGCATCTTATGGAACAGTTATTAGCAGTTAGAAGTGGGGGAAATTTGCATCTGTTCATTAAAAAGCATATGTTTAGTTCATTACAAACATTAATCTTTCCAAGGATATCTTTTACTATTTAAAGACTCTGTTGATTTAATTCCTCAGTTCCAGGTTGATTATTCATTTTGTGATTTGGGAAACCTCCCAGTCATCCAGCCTATTACTTTTGTCAAATATTAGCAAAATGTTTAGCTCCTTTCCTGAAAAACTATAACCAAAGACAACACGCCTTTCTTGCAAGGGAATTTCCTCATCCCTTCTTCTTGTGCACTGTTCAAGTCTTATGCTGAGTCTAAGCATAAAGGCAAGAGGCAAAGAGCAGTCTTCTTGTAGAAAAGCTTTTCAGAGCCAAGTTTTGGGGAAAAAGGTCTTTTAACATGCCTTTTTTTCCTAGCTCCCGTTGAGGCCACTTTGACAAAGAACCCAATTTGCCAGTCACCAGGAGTCCCCCACAAAGGGTCCTGCTGACGTCAACTGCACACTGATTGAAAAGGTCTTTTAACATGCCTTTTTTTCCTAGCTCCCGTTGAGGCCACTTTGACAAACACCACAATTTGCCAGTCACCAGGAGTCCCCCACAAAGGGTCCTGCGGAAGTCAACGGCTGACACTGATTGAGTCCTACTTGTCCCAGTGCCAGCAGAGAGAAGAGTTCCTGTTGCAGACACAACACTGTCACCTCCGACCACAGCTTTGGCAGCCAGACTTCTCCCCATTAGCTGAGACTCCTGTCACAGAGGAAAGGTGGGCACGGAGAATGGGAAACTGGCCACAAAACATCAGTTTCCAAACATCAGGTGTAATAGCAATGAATGTAAACACAGGCTTCTTACCAGTATTTTAGCAGCATTTATCAAGAATTCGCTTCTCAGCTGACAACCAACTCAAGGAGGTAGCATGGCCGAGTGAGTCAGGGAGTGTAAATTCATTAATTCAATTTAGGGCAAAACCTAGCAGTCCAAACTTGGGGAGAAACTCCCTTACCAGAATTAACGCTGAAGGCAAAACAATTATTTACACTTGAGAGGTTTCAGCACCACCTTTGGGAGCAAAGCTGACCGCACTTCCTACAGTTGGTCTGACCACTTAGCTGCTCCTTATTCATAATTAGTCTGAAAATAATCCAGGTTTCACATCTTCTTGCTTTTCCTGTTTTCTACAGTCAGTAGCTTTCCTTCTTTTCAGGCACAGAAGCATACACCTACCTACCACAAGTATAAACCATTCTGTCTCCCTCTGGAGAAGCCAGATTTGCTTCTTTTTTAGATGAAATCAAAGTCAACCTGAAATCAAAGGGAAGAAGGTGCCATTGAATTTCAGTGACATCTGTAGCAAAATCCAGATGATTTCCTACTCTTTTTGAAGCAGAAAAACAACTTAGCTTTTAACTTCCTTGCTGCACCAAGCAGATGTTGCCAACTGTTTCTTAATTCAGTTCTTCCAGTCCACCTTGTATTAGGTCATCTTCTGCCATCACATTGCCACTTCAAGCATTTCTGGAGATCTTCTCAATCTTCCCTCTGCCTGGTTAATTTATCTGTATAAAGTCATTCACACAAAAACGGAGACACGACCACTCTTTTCACCAATACAGGATTGCTCTTTTACAGGATGTTTTAGCCTGGTCTTTTGTCTATCCATTATTAGAGAGAACACTGTTTAAATGCTCTGACCTTTCTTTTGTGAACTTTGAACACATCCAAGCACAAACTCTTCTTGCTGCTTTGCTAACGTTCACTGTAAGTGAGAGCACAGAGAGAACGAAGGGCACAACTTGTCCCTTAATGTTCTCTCCGAATATCCCAGCTAACAAGAATGTCTAGAGAAGCCTAGAAGGATTAGATGCCAATCCCCATGAAATTAGTGGGAATTTGGTACTTAGGCCCCTTTGAAACTCCTAGGATCAAATCTTCCTTAAAGTTCCTGGGCCAGCTCCTAGTCTCAGTTACATCATGTAAATCCAAGCTCTCACCAGTCTTGTCAGTGGAGTTGCTCCAGATTTACTGCCCAGCTCCACGTTAGAATTTGGCTCGCAGGCGCCTGCAGCCTGGCAAAGACTTTACAGACCACCTGCGACACCAGGTTTCTCAATGGCATTCCTTCCAGTCCTGCCACGTTCGTTTTGAATACCTCCTGTGACAGGCAGCGCCTCACTATCGGCACATAACAGCCCACACTAAACAAGAGCTGGCCTGCATGCTTCCTCCTCCTCTTTGCTGGCCATCTTTAGCAGGGATGGGGTACTGCCACATTTCTCCTCTCCGTGTATAACTTGGTCTTCTCTGCAGGTTACCCAACATGAGCTCCCAGCTGGCTCTCAATCAGCCCTTTGCAGTTATGATTCTATTTTTTATACTCTTTCTTAAAGAATTTTAGAAAGAATGTAAGAAAGAGTATCAAATAACTAAGTAACACAAAGATGTCCAGGTTTGAGTTCAGTAAGTCTGTATGAGAAGCTGAATTGACCACCTTCTCTTTAAACCAGCATCATCTCCGTGAAAAAAGCGATCCTCCCTATAAGCACTACTGCACTGCCAATTACCAGCCAGTATCTGTTATCAGACATTGACTTCTTAACAACCATGCTAATTATCTTCCCCATAAATATCACTTTTCTTCTGAGTTAAACCCACATTATGCAGACAATCTTGCTCTTGAAGCATGCACAGTTTATTACTTAAGGTAGCTGTTCCTTTTAATGTACTTTTCAATGAAGAAGAAAAATGTCAATACCATCCTACACAAAAGACAATCCTCTAAGCGAAGCAATTCTAGATTAATGCTGAAATAAGATGCCAATGTTAGATTCCATTGCTATCAACAGCAGAGAGCTTATTAACACAGTGCTTATTTAAATCTTATTTACACATCAACACAGGTATTCATTATTTTTTTAAAAAGAGACTATTTAATCATTTGTACCCTGGGCAAGCACAAGCTCACTCTTTAAGGAAACTAAATCAGCATCCACAATCCCCTGAGGTCTAAGATACCTTAGTTGGTGTCAAACATCAGGTCTACTGTTACAGAGAGAACACAAGCATGAACAGACGCACTTTTAATTTATAATTATGTGGGCTAATTGTGGACAGCATCAAAGGGATTCCACTGAGTAACAAGACAGAGAGCAATTAAGCACACTTCATCTTTGTCATCCTCCTCTAACAATGTTGAATTGATGGTGCATCAGACAAAAAGAGAAGGAATATGCAAAAATGGGAAGAGAAAAGCCCCTTCCTCCAGTGGGATGCTCTCTCCAAGTGCCTATGCAAAGACTACAAGAAAAAACAGCCCCTACCCAACACCTCAGGCATCATTACCTTGGGTTACTCTCACATGCCCACCCCATATGAAGTCATTCACTAGCACAGCCCAGAAAAATACAGTCTTTACATGATGTCAGCAGTCAAAGGGGAGAACTTGCCTGTCTCTAGATGCAATAACCTAGACGTTCACCACAGTAGTCTGTCACCAGGGTCAGAAGTTTGAGTTTTCAAAGAGAGGTACACTGGCACATTTAGACATTTAAAACCCCTAACTCCCCTGGGACTCAACTGCAAGGAGGCACCTGAGGAGCTGATGGAGCTGGTCCACTTGACTACAGGACTGAAGTTCTACAGACATGCTGGGCATTGTTCCTCATGTCCTTCCACAGAAGTACACTGAAAGGCTTAAAACAGAAGTCTCCTACTGCATCTTATTGTTTTGTTTTAGTATTGCAGGAATCCAGTGCATGAAGCTATCAGGATACTCTAAGGGGCACGGGTACAAGATAGGGCAGACCTTCACAGGGAACTCTGACCATGCCTGGAACGCTGTCTACCTTGATGGAAGGTGGCATTTACTCGATAGCACCTGGGGAAGTGGTGTTGTTGATGATTCTTTCACCAAGTTCACCTTCAGGTAAAGAACCATTCTCTATATTAATACAGAAACCTACCCCAAAGGCAGAAGAAAGCTGATAGGTGTGATAAGAAACACCAAACAGTGACAAATTTTAGGTCCCACAGCAAGACCCAAAGCCCCAAGCAAGGTATCTGGGCTGCCTATACGAGGGTCGGAGCACGAACCTGTAGAAAGGCAGCGGCCCTGAGCAGCAAGCTGTGTAACTCCTGAAAGTGAACTTGTTTTGGTTATCACATCTTCAGTTTATGCAATACTGCGTGGCACTTGATTCATAGCTTTCAGCTGCCTGAGAGGGGGTGCCTCCACACTTTCAAACAACAAGCAGTGCCTCTCTCTTTCTTCAAGAGCCCATGGTTGCAGGGGATAGTGCAAATACCCTGGTTTTATCAGGGTATTTATCAGCTCAGCATTTGCCCTGGAAATGGAAGACCAATGCTCAAGTTCCTTCTCTGCCTGGAGAATTTCAAACCCACAGACCTCAATTTCTCAGCAGCCCAAAACACTCTGACTTCCTCC